TCAGAGGCAGTACTTTAGTTCAGGTCTGCCTGACTCTGAGTTCAATTCTCCATTCATTCTGCCACCCTGCCTTTACAGATAGTTGGCATAACCCTAAACTTTCCTTAAAATCAGAGTGGGGGAAAGATAACACAGTCAGGAGGACTAGAAATTTAGTATTTTTTCTGGCACCTGGTTTCTTGGGCATCACTGTCAACTTAAGACCATAAGGAAGTTGGCGGGAACATGACTGATTCCCTTCCTTTTCCAAAAGCATAACACCCAAGAGGAAAAGAGCACATGACAACCCAGAGATGCAGAATGAGGACTTCGAGGAGAGTCAGCCTTCTGACCACCAGATGTCTGTTCTCTCCCTCTCTCTCTCCCATCCCATCTCCCTCTTTCTCTCCCCTTCTCTCTCCTTCTTCCTATCACTTTACTCACTCTGATTTATGAATTTCTTCCTCTGCTTCTGTGTCCCCAAACCCCACAACCTCATGGATCACTGACTTCTCCTTCTCTGCCTCTCATTCCTCTTCCAACTCTCTTTAAATTTTTCAAATCCTATAAAACAATCTCCTCTCCTATCTGGGTCATAAAAAATACAAAATCTTAAAAAAAAAAAGGACAAAAATATACAAAATAAGTTAATCTGTAAATATGTATGGAAAATATCTTTCTTTCTTGATTTCTTTCGTATTTAAGAATACCAGCTCTCTACAGACTTACTCTTTACATATATGTATGTATGAGTCCATGTCTATTATTTTTATACTGTCTAGACCCTATGATGACAAGGTGGGAGCACCCCCCCCAAAAAGACAATAAATATTATTCAATGATTATATATAGAATATGTTTTATGTTGAGGGGTTACAGAGTACATTATAGCAGAATCATAAAATAACCAACTTCTCTCCATTCCAACAGTCAGAGGACGGTTTCTGGATGACTACTTGGCAGGAAACATAATCTGTTTCCTTTCTGTGATAGTAAGACGTCTCCCACTCTCTCAAGTTAAGCCATGTTTACGTTCCTGCCTCTAATAGTCCAATTTCTGACTGAAGTGAAATACACAGATGGTGGGTTTTCAATATCAAGTACTGGAAAATGAAGGGGTTAAAGTCATCACCGTAGATGTGGGGGGGTGTGTGTAGGAGAGACAGAGACAGAAAATACTTAAAGCTTGCCCAGCTCAACAAGGTCTTGATCACATGGTTTTTGAAACTTCTTCATTTATTAATCATTTTCCTTTACACTATGCTATCTTCCCAAATAAATACCCTACACATGCACGCACACAAGCGCATACACACACATACACATACACACACACACACATGCATGTGTATGTAGAGAAAGCAGTTCCAACATGGTTAACATGGTGGAAAGTTGACTAGGAATCACAAAGCTCTAGATCTAAGTCATGACACAATGTAACATTTCTCATCTATGTGAATTTGAGTCTTTTAATATCTCTAGGACTCAGTTTCCCCATCTGTAAAAGGAAATCCCTGCCCTCTATTTCAGAGGAATGTTGTGAGGATCAAGGGAGATACTCTATGGAAAATACTTTGCAAACACTTAAGGGCTACATATGTAATAAAGAACAAGTGTAGCTAGAGTGTAAGCAATCATTCATTCACCCTGGTCATTGAATTGTATGAAAATCACTTTTTCTCCTTTCCTAGAGGCATGCTAACCCACCAGGGTGTAAATATATAAATATAAAATCCTCCATATTAAGTCCATATCTAGCCCACCAGGAGAATGTGTTAGATGCAGAAATATGGGGATAGGGACTGGTTCTGTGATTTCACTGGTGGGGAGAGCTCCCAGAAAAGAATTCCCTCTAACAATGCTAGGCACCACGTTCTCCTCAATTCAGAATCTTGGAGGTTATGACTTGCCCAGGATCACACACATAGACAGAACGTGTCAGGGGTAGGACTTGAAACCAACCTGGCTGAAAGGTTAGTTTTCTGGGATGTCATGATGCTTCTTGTGTTATTTGTAAGCTGATGAAAATATTTCTTCAAGGGCAAATGCCTACGAAGGATGCCAGATTCTGGGTATGCGGTGAAAAAACTGGACCTTGGATCAAAGGACTTAAACTCAGATGTCCATAATGGACAGGACTGTCACTGTCCTACCTTTGGGGTACTTCAAACCAGGGGGCGAATCTAGCAGCCTGAGCAGCTTCCAGGAACTACTCAAACCCTGTTTCCTTGGTTCATTCCTCGCTAAAAAGAACAACATTTTCAGAGTGAGGATTCAGAGATCAACCAAATTGTGTTTTAAAAATCCCTGGAATACTATCCTTCCTAATCTTCCCACATTAAATTCTCTGGCTTCTTTGAATAATCAGTTCAAGCACCACCTCTTCCTTTTTTTTTAAATTTTATTTATTTTGTTTTTAATTTATGGAATAAAACAAGCATTTCCATAACATAGTGTAATTAAAAAAAAAGACTGCACATGAACCTGCAAATCTATTGTGTACAACTTGCTATTTCACTTAAATATATAATGTTATCATGTAAATTTCTTTTTTTCCCCTTTTTTTCTCACCCCCCCACCCTAGAGATGGCTACCACTAGACACAAATATGTGTGTGTGTGTGTATACATATATATATATATATATATATATATATATATATATATACACACATATATATGTAAAATCATTTCATACATACTTCTATTCATCAGTTCTTTCTCTTATATGCAGATAGCATATAAAATACCTGGGAATAAACCCACCAAAACAATCCTAGGAAGTATATAAACAAAAGCATAAAAAAACCACTTTTATACTAATAAAATCAGATTTAAATAATTGGAGGAATATTAATTGTTCATGGATAGGCAGGGCCAATATAATAAAAATGACAATTTTATCTAAACTAATTAAATACTTAGAAAATGCTTAGAAATGCCATCCCAACTAAATTGCCAAAAAATATTTTACTGAATTAGAGAAAATAATACAATTCCTTTGGAAGAACAAAAAGTCAAGAGTATCAAAGGAAGTAATAAAAAAAAAAAAGCAAAGGAAGGAGGTTTAGCAGTACCAGATCTTAAACTATATTACAAGGTGCCACCTCTTTCTTACAGAAAGCTTTTCCTAGTAATCCCCACCCTCTACTCACCCCGAGCTGCTAGTGCCTTTCTCTCTAAGATTCCCGTATATTGACTCAGTATCCTTCCTAAATGTACTGGTTTATGTTTATATTACATTTATATTCCCATTAAAATGTAAGCTCTGTGAGGGCAGGTTTGTTTTTGCTTTCTATTTATACTCCTGGTGCTTAGGACAGTGTCTGGCACACAGTAAGCTTGTTGATTAAAAACAACAACATTAAAATTCCTAAGGAAAGTGATATATCCAGTCTCTCCTATCCACATATATCTTGTAGCTAAATAGTCCTTTCATCATTATTTCACCTTCAGTAACAGAAAGATCCCTTCTTTACATGTTGGTCCCCCATGCAACAAGGTGTCCAAATGAAAAGCGGAGGGAAAGAGATCCTACGTGAGTACCCGAGAACCTGTCCAAGCTGCCCTCTTCAATGTTCACTCAGCTTTTCAACGTTCCTTCTCAAAGGTACCAGCCTGATTTAGACATAATATCCCGGATGGGGACTCACCAGGGCAGAATGCAGAAGGACTGTCACATCCCTCACCTGGGAAGAACACATTAGCTTTTCTGGGCTGCCATAGCACATTTCCAACTCACACTGGGCTTGCACTTCATTCAAATGCCTTGGCATTTTCTTAAAGAAACCCTACCTGATTCTCTTTCACCTGTACTCTCATTCAGATTAATGCCTGCCATGGGTGGCATGAAAGGTAATCAGAAGATAGAACTACTCTTTTAATTAAGAAAAGAGGCCTATTTTTGAAAAGGGTGAAGATGTCTGCCAGGCTTCGTTGTCTTTCTATAACATGCAATAGTTTTTAAAACATAAGAGACTTTCTAAGTGCTTAATACACAATTTAAAAAATGGAATACTTTCAAAGTATGTTGCTGGTGTACCTCATTAAAACATCTCTTTTAATATATTCATAAATAATAAAGTTACAATAAACCACTATGTTTTAAATAAATGTTTTCTTTTTTTGCTAGAGCATAAGCCAGAAATTCACTGTGCAGAATAGATTTACTGCATTTTGTAAAAAATTTCAAAAGGTTAAGCTATATAGCATACCACTACCACCACTAATAATAATAATAATAACAGTTAACATTTATGTAGCGCTTATTGTGTGCCATGCACTTTACAATTAACATCTCATTTAGTCTTTACAACAACCCTGGGAGGTAGATGCTATTATTATCTCCATTTTACAGATGAGGAAACTGAGGCAAACAGAGGTCAAATCCCTTGCCCAGGGGTCACCTGTTTGTAAATGTCTCAGGCCAGATTTGAACTCAGGTCTTCCTGATTCCAGGTCCAGTGCCCTAATCGCCGTACCAACCTAAGTGCTCCTCCATGAGGAATATGGATGACAGAGCAGTTTTCCAAAGCAAGAAAATATTTCCTAGGTAAATTTCTATTTTAGGGGAATGAGACAGGCTCTAAAATTGTCAATTTTCAGTCCTGACAAAATCTTTTATAGAAACAAATGCTAAATGTTATGTGTCTTAGCTTTGGTTGATTGGTGTAACAATAATCTAAGGAAGATTTTCTGTCATGAGTGTAATGGTGGGCCAAGTCTGAAGAGTGGAGGGAAGCAATTTATATAAAGTAAAACAAGGAGATGAGGTAGGGAGGCCCGCTGTAATCAAAGACTCTGCATTTCACGGCCATTCTTCCATTTACTTCATTCAGAAGCTCTGAATGGGTAGTCTAACCCAAAATGATAATTTGGGTATTTTACATTCTGAGCATTTCAGAGCCTCAAACTATCCAATGTTGTCCTGTTATATGATAACTACTCCCATTACCCAATCCTCCCTGTCCAAGAGGAAAGAAGAGGAATATTCTTAGAAGTGGGGGGATTAAATATACTTACAAGGCATTGCATGGTAGATGCTTGGCCAGTACTGTCCATTGTCTCTCTTCAGCCATACCCGGACTGTTCTAGAAAAGAAGGACACTGGCATTAAATCAGGATGAATTGTAGGACTGGTGAGAGCTTCCTGGTTCACCATCCCAGAGCCAAACCTCTTGAGTAATTTGAGGCAAACAGTACCAGGAGGTTTATGTGGATGCTACATGTCATCGTTCTTATTCTAAAGAAGTCTAAACCTTAAAAAAAAATTGACATTATATTTAAATGGAAGATTCTGCCTCTGTGGCCGCTGTCCAGAATACAGATTTATTTTCTAAGGCTGGCAATAAGCATAATGGAATCCATATGGTGAACAGTGATTCTCTAGCATCCTACTGAAACATGACGGAACATATGAAAGCCATGTGCATGCAATATAAGGAGTCAGGAGTAGGTGGGGAAGAGCGATTGGGCAGGGAAGTTTGTGAACTACTAAGAAGTGTGTACTAATAGCACCTCGCCAAAGGGACGGCTTTCTGGGGTACAGAGAGACCAGGTGAGAGATCAGAGAAAGGAAGCTTCTTTTCAGCTCTGCGGCCTAGAGGCATCAGCTTCTAAGACCGTACAATCACAGGATGACAAACAAATCTGAAGCTAGGAGAGACAGGCCTCAGAGGTCAACTAGTCCAACCAACCCCCACATTTTATAGGCAGGAAAAAGACGCCTCAGGGCCCAAGATCTCACAAATGGGTATCAGAGGCAGGTTCTGAACCCAGTGCCTCGGAGTACTATTTATTATAACTAACATTTATGTAGCACTTTAAGGTTTACAAAATGCTTTATATGCTTTATTATTAAAGTTTTTGAAACATATATTGAGGAATTTTTTTTTCAAAATTGAGATGACTATCATTATTGCTACTAGGCACAGTACCTTCCCTTACTTTGCAAAAGTTCGAAACCCAGGCAGGATCTTTACTTCCTTTGGTAATCCAAAAAGCTGAAATCACTGACCTGAGAGATCACACATTCAAACAAGACAACCGCTTTGTACAAATTCTCTTACTAAAAGGCCTTATCTGTTGGTAAGGATAGGTCTCTTCTAGTTCCAACACTCTCTAATTAGATTTTTTAATTGTAATTTTTTATAAAATGCTAAAGCATACCTTTACTATAATTTCTGATTTAAGCCTCTAAAATCTCTAGATCAAACATCTACTAAGATAAAATTAGTTATAATATTCCTTTTTTAATACTGCAGGTATATTAGACCAACATTTTAATAGCAATGAATTTAAAATTTAAGATAAAATTTATTTAATCTGCCTTCACTTTCCTGGGGGTCAAGAAGGTTATAAAGAGGTTTTATTGTAAATGAAAAGATCTTTAAAAGGAAGTTGTGGTAAAGTCTTGAGTAATTAGAAAATCGATACCCAAATGCAAGAAAATAGACAGTGAAATATATCTCACTTGGTTAGGGGTGGGAAAGGAAGGGGACAGGGGAAGCCTTAGACAGTAATGCTGAATATATTGTCAGACCTAGTCACTATACCCATTGTTTCTTCAAAACTGTTTTTCTTTGTCACAACAGAGTGAGCAGTTGGGGTGGTGGGAGAAGGGCACAGAGAATGTACAGAAATAACAGTGATATATGAACAAGAAACATCAATAATACTTTTTGAAAAACAAACAGGCAGGTGATGGTGAGTTTCAAATCTATACATAAACATTTTAGCTTGGCTAACAAGATTTTTCAAAGAAATCCAAGAGATATCTCTGGTAAATTTAAATGCCACTTAATCAGAATTAAGGGTGAGCTTTTCCCAGAAGAAATTTTTATTTGAAAAGCTTCCCCACCCCCATCTCCCCAAGCACTTCAATATTAAATTAATTCCTTCATCACTGGGCTTTTTACAAAGAAACAAATAGTGTCACTGTGACTGATGACCAAATTTTAGCCAGCAGAGGTCACTGCATTAAACATAAAACTAGGGAAGTCAAGAATCACAAACAATTCTAAAAATTGACTCACCCCTGTCTAAGTGAGTGTCTCTTCTCCATACCCAGCTGATCAATAGCCACTATCCCACTGCAGCCTGAAGAGCTTTAGGCTGGTCACATGCATTGCCTGCCAAAGCAGTCCATTCTCCTTCTGGATCATTTTATCAGACACTCCCACTCCTTGTTCCCTGTCCCCTGACTCTATGGTAGATCTCTTTGGGGATACTATAAATTTATCCTATCATCCTGTGCAGTGGCACATAATGCACTCAGATCAATGTCTGGGCAAACTGTCCTCAGTTTCCCTCTTCCAATCCTTAGGGCAGGCCTAAAACTGTGCTGCCCTTGTTTATTATTAAGTATTACCACTACTTTTCATAATGGTAATTTCCAGAAAACTACATCCTCTTAATCTCTAGTGAATTCAACTGAACGTGTCAGTAAGAAAAAAAAGTGGTGCAACCTTTTATTCAAGCCTTTTATTCTATTAAAACTAAAATATTTTAAAACAAACTAATGATAAGACGAGGGGAGTCTTTCCTTACAGCATACACAGTGTAATTAACTGTCCTCTTCTTCAACACCTGTGACTGTTAGGCAAGGGAATTAATTCTATGTCCACAATGTAATGCAGTCCTTTGCAAGAAAAACAAAAAACAAGACTGGAAAAGTGTCCTGACACTCAGTTTGCTTTTGGAAAACCACCACTGGACTGGGAGTTAGGAGACCTAAGCACTAGCTTAATTCTGCCACTAACTAGTTATATGACCTTAGGCAAATCAACTAAATTCTCTGAGCCTCAGTTTCCTCAACTATAAAATGAGCAAGCTGAACAAAATTAACTCTAAGAACCCTTTCTAGATCTGATGACTGATTCAATACTAATTTAATATTCATATGAAATACATAAGCAAGCTTGTATTTTCCAACCTATGATGTCTTATAGAGATTGAGACCAGAGCTGAGCTGGCAGTTCTGAGTGATGCCTTTAGCATGGGGTGGTGGCATAAGGAAAGACATTTCCTCCTCCCTGCTCTGCTCTAATGCTAACTCTGGCCCTTATGGTGACTTTAACCCCTGCCATCATGATTTCACAGAATCCTAAAATCCTGGACGTGGAAGGGACCTCAACAATGATCTAACCCATCCCTCTCATGTTTTAGGAGAGTAAACAGGTCCCCAAAGAGGTGTGGTGACTCAATGATAGCTCATGTTCTCTCTCTGTGACTCTGTCTTTCACTGTCTCTGTCTCTCTTACCCACAGGTTGCAATATATAGTTGACTAGGTTTGCCACATAGCACACAAATAAGATTGTCCTTTATTTATCTGCAAATAAATTTTACTGACCTTTTGTTTTTAAAGCATCCATATTTACCATTGTAACCTTCATCATCTTTCTTGACCTTTGAGTTGACATGCCCCCCTGCCCCCTCTGCTTCAATGACAGTGCTCTCTCCTTGTTCTGTCTGACCACTCTACCAAAGTATCCTTTGCTAAATCATCATCCATATCCTGCCCCCTTATCCTATCCCAGACCCACTTCTGCTCCCTTTCCGCAAAAGTTTTCTTGAAGATTCAATCCATTTTTGTGGATTCAAGGACCATCTCTGTGCTGGCAATTTCCAAATCTCTACATCCACACCAAAACTATGTATCCAAACCTAACATCTCTTCTGAAATCTTGTCCCATATTCTCCACTGCCTCTTGGGTATCTTTTCTTGAGTGTCCCATACGTAGTGCAAACTCAATATGCCCAATGGAATTCATTAACTTCCATGTCTAAATCTAGAATCCTCGGATACTCCCCCAATGAACATACTCCTCTCCTAAACTTCCCTTATTTTGATGGAAGGTGCCATCATCCTCTGAAGTCATCCAGATGTGTAAGTTCACTGTCACCCTTCATTCTTCTTTCTCCATCATACCCTATATTCAATCAGTTTCCAAGACTTTGATTCTACCTCCACAATATCTGACATATATATCCTTTCTCTCTACCCACACAGTTACCACCCTAGTTCCAGAGCCTACCCCCTCTCACCTGGACTATACTATAACAACAGTCATCTAGCTGATCTCCTGGTTTCCAGTTTCTCTCCTTCCCAATCTATTCTCCACAAAGCTACCAAAATAGGTTTTATGATATCATTCCCTCATTCAAAACTCTTGAATGGCTCCCTTTTGCCCAAAGAATAAAATATAAACTCAATTTGGCAGTAAAGGTTTTCCACACTCTGGCTCCTATCCATCTTTCATCAACTTTGTGTTCTAGGCAAATTGCAAATAGCTATTCCCCAAACTAGATTTTTCAACTCCTATTCTCTGGGCATTAACATGAACCATTCCCTTGGCCTGGAATGCAATCTCTCTCCTCATTTCCAACTCTGAGAATCCTTATTTTCTATCAAAGGTCATCTCAGATACCACCGGCCTCATGAAGTCTTCCTTTCATTCCCTAAGTTTTTCTTAGTGATCCCTCTCTAGCCTCAATCTTCCTTGCAGTATACTCATTTGTGTACAACAATGATGTGTCCTCCTAGTAGAATGTAAACTCCATCAGGGCAGAGATGGTTTTGTTTTTATTTTTGTGTCTTGCACACCTAGTATAATGTAGCACATAATAGATGCTTGGTAACTGTTAACTTGAATAATGAGCCTGGTCAGATATGGCCAAGCACTACTGCCAGCACACAAATCCTTCTCTCCTAGCCTCTGCCAAAAAACTGAAATCCCTTATCCAAAAATCTGGTGTTTTCTTAGAACATTATCTGCCTCTCTCTTTTACCCCAGCATATTTTTGCCTGTACATACTCGTGCACATGTTCAACACCCATCATAAGATTTTAACCTTCTTGAAGGCAAGCAATGGTTATTCCCCTTTGTATCCAGAGCAAAGAGCAGGTGCCAAATGATTCCTGAACTTCATCTATTCTCAACTGGCCTGGAAAGTTATCTGACAGAGTTAGCCTAGCCTGAAGCCCGGGGCTTGGGATAAGCCGATTCCCCCTTCTACCCTATTGTCATGGTCCCAACTCAGGGCCACAAATAGCAAATGAAATACCTCTACAGACACCTCCACCCCCAA